TGTGTGTGACATTGAATTTCGAAAAATCCGAATTTCCTACATCATATACGACGTACAAAATGCGTGTGATGCACCGGTGTCTCATATGATAACGATATTTGCATTCCTGTTATTATCACTACACTATGAAACAGCGTTATCTACAACTGCATACTACAAATGTCTGCCCGGAATTAAATAAAACTTATATTCTAAATTTGTACACACACACACACACACACACACACACACACACACACACACACATATATAATGTATGAACTTTTAATTAGAAATGTATGTATAAATATATGACCTTTTAATTAGACAATTTTCAAATTAGTTTAATCTATTATCTTTCTCTAGAGGAAAAATTTTAGTCTCAAAAATTTGTAATTTATTATTCAAATTATTATTTAAACAATTGTATTACATCTTTCGTTTGAATTTTAGTTGTTTTGTATTTTAGTATTAATATTAATTATAATAGTAGTATATATACATTAATGAAATGTATATGTAATACTCTAGGTGACAAGATATATCTAATTGCAACAATTCTAAGTTACATTGCTCGATAAATAATTATTACTTGACTATTTGACATTCTGGACAAGCAGTACGTGACGTAATCATAATTATTAATTAGACGGGCAAAAAAGGTGCCTAGTTTTAATTATGACGCGATTAACACATCTCAGCGAATTGAGCGTGTATAAGCTGCTATTTTAAGCAGATTATTCGCTTCGTATGCGTAAAACGCTTTTTGCTGTGCATGACGCGTGTTAACGTAAAATAAGGATAATTATTAATCAATCGGTAACCGGGTGAGCCGAGTGAAATTCGATAGAAACCTCCTGGTTAGGAACTCGACCGATTTAATCACAGGCAACTATCCTGTGCTTATTTAACGAGATAGAAATCAGTGCGTGAACGCATAACGATACGTGCGCCTACAGTAAATGACACGCGTGAGAATGCAATTTCAGTGATATGCATGAATGTATCGACAGTATCGTATTGCGCATTAAAAAATGCCGGTACTGTCGCAATTAAGGAAACGCTTAGCATTGTGTTGATAATTGAAAAAAATTCCGGTACATTAACCCGTTACCTGTTGCAACTTTCTATATATATTTTATCACGTTTTATAATATATACTAAAAATGCATATATGTACGTAAAACTTATAATTTTTAATTTATTATTTTTTACGTAAAAATATTTTTCATATTACAAATTAAATGAGACTCCAAAACTATTCTTTTTCTTTAAATAAATCTATTCTTAGTAACTACTATTTTTTATGATGTTAATTAATCGTATTTTGGACAATGTGTCTGAAATGATTATCGAAAGTAAATTGTATAAATCGTATAACGCGCGAGAATTAATCGTACATAAAACGCAATCGAGATTTGTGTCACGACTTCGTTTCCCATATACGGGCCGCGTTGTCTGACCCGGTAATTGTGTCACGCGATTACGTAATACTCCGGCGTACCGTACACGAATAATAGGCATGCACTCTTGACTCTTTGTTCAAAGAAGACGAGGGATAGGCATTGTTACGTGCCCAGGGAGGAAGAATTATCTTGTCGACCGATGCGCATCCGAGTTCCTTGAATTTAGCGTGGAAAAAGAGGAAGTTCACTAAAAATAACGTTGAGAACGGCCACAAACGAAAGAAAATTGGAAAACAACGCGGCCCGTGTCTTCTCGTGCGACTCTGTTGCATGTTTCCAATTGTTGTACATACGGCAAATACGGATAATAATATAATAGATAAATATGAGATAAAAATCATACGTACCTCGCAATTTTTCAGATAGCTCAATGAAAATTTAAATATGATATAGAGTTATAATTAAAGATTGGTCAATGGAATAAAAATGCATTAGCTTCTAAATGTTAAATATTCTACGTCATTATCACGTTTAATAAAAATAAGATTTTTGTAAGAATGAAACTACTTGCGAAATATTAATAATTAAAATTTATGATTTAATATATGCGCCTAAATCCTATCATATAATAACGATAAAAGAAATTTCTTTTAAGATCTTCAATAAAAATTTATAAATATGTATGAGAGACTGTATGATTTTTTCCCAGAGATTGACTCTACGGACTATACGACTACGATTAATACGCAACGAAGTGATTCATCGAATCATTTAACCACTACGTATATGTACGATGACTAATCTCTTAACAAACGCTTGTCTACGTACTATGATATACGTCCGCAATATTGTATTTATCGAATTTTTTTGACGCGCACTCAGGACGTATTTTACAATTAAGTAGAAAATGTGGGTTTGCCAACATAATACATAGCGCGAATAAAATAACAAGCATTTCATCAGAGCATAAATTTAAAATAATTAAATCACTCGTAAGATCTCATGACGCATCTAATATGCAATACAATAAATATTCATTTAAAAAATGATCTATGTTACACAACATATGTGGCCGAATTTAATGCGATGATGTATAACAATTATATAGCCTTTAGAGAATACAAACAAAATTTAAGTTAATATTTATCGATGGTATTGTAAATACTAATTAAATTACGGAGCGACAGAAATTTAGGTATGTATACCTTTCTCTCATATTTTATTGTTCTTCAGATTACTTAACTGCGTCACGCGATACTGCATGCCTGGTTTATCGAATACTATATATGGAAGTGTCACCAATGTATTGAAAAGGATAACATCTGTTGCACCTGGTTATCACACCGGTCAAATAGCAGCAGTGAGACAGTACTGATAAATAACAGCCAAGAATCATAATACCGCTTGATAAACGAATATTTAAACATGCACTTTACTATACATATTAAACACATTAGTTACATTAGCAATAAAGTTTAAAGACTCATCCAATCTGATAATATGAATAAATTTAAACATCGAATATTTTATGATTTATGAAGTTCTTTATGTAAATTCGTCTTCTTTCTTAAAATACTTATATAACCAATTTTTTTTTTACTGAATCATCTAGAATTATTTAGAATCTCAAAATTTTATTGTATTAATTTATTTTATAATTATTTATCAAGTTTCTTAAATATAAAATCATTTTTTCCTAATTTTCTTTTAATATATCTGCCGAGTTATTAACGCATACATTTATGCCATTAATAGATTTTTCGAGAGTTGAAATTTAATATTAATTGAGTAAGCAAAAGGTAGTATAAAAGAAGGGCAAAGAGCCAATGACGTATATAAAAAATTATAATTCAGATAAGAAAACTCAATACAAAAACAATAAAAATACAATAAAATAAAACAAACGTTTCAACTCCAATTGAGTCATTTTCAATGCCATCATACAATAATATAAATGTCGTTCTAAATTAAAAATTAATACATAATCTTACAATATTCTTAAAATTCCTTAACAAAAAATTCTTTCCTCTTTCCGTGTAATACGCTGTGAGTCATTTTTATTAAGAATTAACAAAGTCATAAGAAAGTTCTGGAAAAGTAACCGTAAACAAAAAGAATCAATATTAAATACGTCGATGATATTATCTTAGCCACTCCTTCTGAAAGTATTTATGATATTTTGGATGTTTTCAATTCATTACTAGATTACAGTTCACCATGGAGATAGGTGATGGATGATGGTAGAATAAGTTATTTAGATACGATGGTAATTATCGATGAACGTAATCTCATTTTTTATGTATACTGTAAAGCAACCTTTCCTCTTTACTCTTCGGATTCGATAGCGATCTCACGGGTTTCTCGAAACCGTTGATGGAATTTCACTCTTATCTGAAAATGACTATTGTCACGGCTTCAACCCCGACGGAATATTTATTTTCTTCGTGTACGGTTCATACTCGACGATCGAACGTTTTCGCCGTTTATCTGGCAATTAAGATCTCGCTCGTGGTCTTGACGGAAATACGCGCGTATCTGACTGTCCCCGCTCATGGACACGTATTTATTTTCTCGATGCATGATTTAACAGCGCTTAAAACATCGCGACAAATAGGAGCGAATAGCGTTTTATTCCCATGACGCGAACATGAAGTCTTGTTTTCCCCCAGTCGTCAGCGTTTAGAAGGTTAATTTAGAAAGAAAGGATGATTTTGCAGAAATATTTATACATATCAGAAAATAATTATTTTAGACTATCAAAATAATTAGACAGGATGTTCAAGCTGATTGCTAGAATATAAAAATTTTTTGCAGCATCGCTCTCATCATACTTGAGTTTCCTAATAATAAAATGTTTTTCTGTTTGACATTTCGTTTTGTGACATCGTTTAAGTCAGATGCTCGTTACCTTTGCGAATTTGCTTTAATAACCTATTAAATTAAAAAGACTTTTTTACTGTACCACAAAATGGACTACATTTTACATTTTTTTCTCGTTGTGTATTATGGGACTTTTAACAGATTTACTAAGGTATATCATCATATTTTTAATTTTTATGTGATTAATATTGATTCTTTTTGTTTACGGTTACTTTTCCAGAACTTTCTTATGACTTTGTTAATTCTTGATAAAAATGACTCACAGCGTATTACACAGAAAGAGGAAAGAATTTTTTGTTAAGGAATTTTAAGAATATTGTAAGATTATGTATTAATTTTTAATTTAGAACGACATTTATATTATTGTATGATGGCATTGAAAATGACTCAATTGGAGTTGAAACGTTTGTTTTATTTTATTGTATTTTTATTGTTTTTGTATTGAGTTTTCTTATCTGAATTATAATTTTTTATATACGTCATTGGCTCTTTGCCCTTCTTTTATACTACCTTTTGCTTATTACTACAGAGCCTTTTATATTACTTTTAATTAATTGAGTAAATTTAATATATTAAAATTGAAAATATATTTTATCTTTATATTCAAATCTTATTTATCCTTATTCGAAAACTAAGGATTTCTATGTCTAAATTATATACTATTGACCTTATATAAAGTTTCATAAAGTGTTTCTCTTTCAGTACAAACAGAGAAGTGGGATAAATGGCAGCAAATGCAAGACTCAAAACCACATTTCTCGTGAGAGTGATTACGTACAATATTACATCGATGCGCACAAAGTTCATGAAGTCTCGCGCAATGTTTCTTGCCACAGGAGAAATTTCAGGGCGGGTCTATTGGATTCCGTTACTGCGGTTAAATCTCAGATGGCTTCGGGACTTGCTGCACGTCAATCGTGACAACAAAGCGAAGCCGTACCTGTGTCCGCATTCTAGAAATTCTCACGAAGGTCGACACAAAGAGCAGAAAACGCCCGAAAAAGATGCGCATTACAAATTGTAAGCCTTGTAAAAGTATCATAATGTTTGTTCTTTTCTAATCCTCTTATTACATCACGGCTCTTTAAATAATTTAAATATATATAAAATATTTTACATAATTATTTATATTATTTTATGTTATAATAATTTATATAATCAAACAATAAAATTAAATAATCACAAAAAAAGAACGTAAATTTAACTGATGTTGGCGAAATTAGGCGTTTGTTTGTGGTCTACAATTTATTCGATAAAGAAATGTAACTCATATCATAATCGGCAATTATTTTGTAATTTAATTAACTTACAGAAAATTATACGCTTCTCCAGGTATAATATGAGTTAGCTATCCTACTTACAAATGTTAACCTTTCAATAGAGATATTATTTTCTCAACAAAAAACTGCCTCACGAAAGTTCAAGGTACTTTTTTTACTCTTGACGTAAAACAATGAAACTGTTTAGAATTTTTTTTTCTCTGACAATATTTAATATATATAAGGATATATAAATTATAAAGATCGCATATTACGAATCTCTACTTTCAAGATTACTTCTCAACGTAACACGATGCTCGGCGTTTTGCATTACTCAGTCTAGTAAAAAAGAGAAGGCTGTCGTGTTGAAAAGAATCTAGCGACTCTCCCTTTCCAACGTAATAACGCGAATCTCATGCAAGTACTTAATTTATGCAAAGTTTTACGCACTCACTTTCGATATCGTGCTGGAAACTTACATGCTACTCATTTCGCATAAATCGCACGTTGTGTATGTTACGCAGAGGAGATAAATACCGGATGCAAATGCGTTCGTAGTGATTTGCTTTTAATCGCGGATTTCCACCGTGAGCGATGGAAATCGGTGCGTAAGGTGCGTAAGGAACGTTGTTCCGTGCACATAGATATGAACTTCGCATAATAATATAATATAATGTGCAACAAAAATTTCATACGCCCGCAGTGACAGCGGGGTCCAGAGGTGGATGCATTGTGGGACAAGGTCGGTTCACCGTAACATGCAGACAGGCCACGCTAGGCTGGGCACCCCTTTACGACTAGCTGTTAAATTGTTCGAAGCTAAAAGTACGACGTGACAGGCGGCGGCGTTTCCTGTTCCATCTGCTCGCCGTCGAGGCAAACGACTGCCAAATGAGATTCGGCATGGGCACGTTTATGCATTGCATTGCACTTTGTTAAAACCAGTCACCTTACTTACCCAAATATATTATTCAAATATTCTAACCAAAATGTAAAAATATAATAAATGTGTTGAACAACAAATTCAAATATATATATATATATATTTTTTTTTTTTTCAAATAAATACTTTCAAAATCCATTACACAAAAATATAAAAACATGTAGATAAAATGTAGAAATAAAGTAAAAAAGATATATATATGCATCAGAAAAGAAAATCAAACGATACAAAAAACAGTAGATTAAAAATAATTTAAAAAATAATAAATGATAACAGTTAAAGTTAAAGTAGATATTTTGATAAAAAATATTGGATTACAAAAATTCCTGATGAAATGCCAAATAAAATATAATCCTTTCGAAAGCGAAAAATGATCTCTTTTTTTTAGTATCAAAAAAAGTAATGAAGCAGCAATATTTTGTTGCAGGAAGTTCACTGCAGGAACTCGAATATATTTTGGTGTCATACGATATCATGCGAGTTTAGATTAAGCTGACAGAAATACTGAAATATGAAATTCGCGAAAAGCAGTTTTGTCACAACAATAACAATACAAAATGATGTAGCAATTTTTTATATATTCTAAATCACATGGTTAATTTAGCAAAGTTTCGTAATTATAAAAATATAAAGCGATTTAAACGTGACTGTACATATAAAAAACAATTTGCCTTTTCTTCAAAATTAATGCACGCGCTAGATTAAAAAATAAATGTATAATTTATTTTCTGTTCACATCAATAAATTCAATGTAATCTTTTTCCTTTTATGAATTAAGGCAAATGTTACTAATCTGTAGTTAAATATACATATAGAATTGCCGTGTGATTTAAGTGCATCCACTAAATAGAAATGATTATCGTCGAAGGAAGTGAATCATTCACGGTGAACCAACAACAGTCATGGATGATATCATTCGTACTTTATTAAAATTTGGGAAGACGTGACTACATATAAAAATAATATACAATGCGAAAAAGATGAGAAGAAAATATATTATACAACGAAAAAAGAATACCTGCTAATCAACAGAATGTCTGAAGAAAAATCGCGCTTTTTCTAAAATATAAATTTTTTGACAAATGAGTCAATGCTTTTAATAAAAAAGTTGATCGAAATTTGTTTGCATAAATGTTTCATTTTTAACACATCTGGAAAAAATATAGGCTTGGAATAGAAAAATTCTATTTAAAGAAAGTATACTTTTGTATTCGCGCCCACGATATAGCAAAACTAAAGTACAAAGAAGGGACGCAAATATGAAGAAAAGACAGACTGAAAAAAAATGCACAAGCAGGTCTCCACACGTGTTCTCTTTTACTATCCGGTAGAGCGCTTAATTCGACGTATATGTATAGCCTGTCGGCGAGACATGCATATATATCTAAGAGAGTCCAGAACATGTGTTTTAATCGTATAACGTTATATCCGTGAAGGAATCACTTTACTTAATTCGCAATACCCGTCTTTGAAAACCCTAAATCGAACGATGTGCAGAAACAAAATTTTTAATTAGTCTCAAATCACACTCGACTGCACTCGTAACGAATAGTTTTGAGTAAAGGGAGAAAAAAAAATATGTACGTGAATATAAGAATTAACCAGATGTAGTAAAAATGCTTACAATTATCATTTAATGCTCAACATTGTTAAATTATGCTGCCATAGTAATTACAGCTATTAAACTGATTATATCTAGTAGTTGCATTATATAAAAATACTCAATTTATAAAATTTAATATTTTGTGAATGTACAAAAATACTTTTAAATTGTTAAATGTTTTATAAATATTTTATTAAAATGGCATATATTTGAAATAACGCAAGGCACGATTGTAAATTCTCTCTCTAAATTCTTTGAAGTGAAAATTGAAATCTCACTGTAAAGAGTAAATGAAAATTGAGCTAGCTTTTTGAAAATGTGGCTCAATTTTCAATCTTTAAGAGTGAGATTTCAATCTTCGAAGTGAGATTCACTCAAAGTTTCAGAGAGTAAAAATTTACTTTATTAAATGATTTAATCACTATTATATTTGAGAATGTATTACACGTACGTATTTTTAAAAAAAATTAAAAAAAGTATGAAAATATCACTGGTTTTTTTATATTATATTTGGAAGTAATGTAAAAAAAATAGCGATTCAGAATCTGGATAAAAAATTATTTCAATAAAAAACTTGCTTTTAAAAAATAAATAAGATAAACGAAAATATTTTCATTTTAATTATATTATTGAATAAATATTGATCCAAATAAACTGTCTCATACGCAACAATTCATTTTTATAAGTATAAATTTTCAATTTCAGTTTATAATATTGTACTTTAAAACTAGTGCAGAGGAAAATAACTATACAACTGCATAGAATGTGAGAGTAAAAATAAATTGAGAATGAATTAAGATTGGCTCGCATAGGGGCAAGATAATGAGCAAGAAAGATAAAATTATAGCATAAGGGAGAGATATAAGGAGGAAACAGACGAATGAATGAATCTCGCAGCTCACACGTGTTCGGTTTTACTTATTCAGTACATCGTCTGATTTGACACGCATCGCTGATACATATCCCGCTTGTTGTACGCGGAATACAAAATTCTTTCGATGAGACATTATCCGCATAGTGTCGTTGACTTCGTGCCCATTTTTTTAAATCAATTTCAACGAAGACAAATGCCTCGAGCAGATAATAAATGCGACTTTACGTCAAGTAAGCAACTTTCTAAGCGATAAAATGTAACGACCGTCTATGTGAGATGCTTAAAATGAGATATAATAGGTCCAAGTAAATTATCGAAAAGTCATATCTTTCGAATAAACGTTCATAGCTTGAAATTTCATAATTTAATAACATAACGTGTAATTTGCGTGATAAATCACAGTGTGTTTACTTTAAAGTTGAAATTTTATTTCATATTTTAAAACGTGATTAATGTAAAATGTGATGAAATGTGATAAAACGTGTACATGTGATATATATTTAAATGTTAAAAAGCAGAAACTCTGTTTCGAAATTCCTGAATAAAACTTGCAATAATTTATCAAATTAATTTTAAATTGTAAGTAGTTGTATCCTGTTTAGTGATCTTTTAACATTTATGACAACTCTGTGATCAATCAAATACTTTTCTCCATTTGTAGTTTACGCATTCGTGTTCTCCTTTTGTGAACGTATTGGATGACGCTTTCTCAGCAAGAAAAGGATTGGAGCGTCTCGAACGAATTACTTGTCATTACGAAGCATATTATATGCCATATAAGTGCTGAAGAGAAGTCCGTACGTAAGAAGAGAGAAATGCAGATTCGAATCGCGACTCAGAGATTTCGTCATCGCGATGCACAACCGGAATACTGTACGAGTCACGGACGTATCTCTTGGTGCAACGTGGCATACCGATATGAGAAGACGAAGACGCACAGAGAAAACCATAGTGCATTTGATTATCATCAACAATAAATTGAATTACAAAGATTGAGACACATAAGAAATTAATTAAATAAATACAAGTGATCTTCTAACGCGTTATCAAAATAATTTAAACTCTATCACAATCACAAAGGAAGATCGATTATCTAAAAAATATAACATAATTATTTGGAATTTTTGTAAATTTGATTTATAAATTTTATCTTAAAAAATGTCTGTTAGAGCAATGTTTATTTTTATTTATAATGTAAGTATAATAAAAAAGATAGTTCCGTTAACGAATCAAACGGTATAAAAAAATTGATAAAAAGATGTCAGGAGGTTATCGCAGGAAAACGTTAGAAACTTTTACACGCTTCCTCTCGGGATCTCCCATTGTACAAAAATAGTACAATTAATATCCGTCGGGGTCACGAAATTAACCTCAACGCAAAGTTACTTTCGTTGTGTCGCCCGACGATTCTAATTATTTTCAAATCCTGATGAATGTCTTACACTTGACACGAAACTCGAAATCTTGATTAAGATAAGCATTATCGCTACGGTTTTCTTTACACATTTTTTCTTCGTATTATCTCATAAAACTTTCACACTTGAATCATGATTTTTCTTGCTTCATTCAAGATAGCACTTTGATTGCGACAGGAAAGTTAATTTATAATTATTACAGGTTTCATCGAAATAAGTAAAGAGCTGTTCGCAAGACGAAATCTTTTAGTCGCTATTAACGTAGTGATTACTTCAATACTTTGTCGTATTTCTCAAAATAAGCAGCGGCTTATTTTTTTTTTATCACGTTGAAGCAAAATAACGATGAGGAATATTTATCCATCATTCGATATTAATTAAAAGCTAATGTAGGTACAATCTTTCTGCTATACAAGTATACGTATGTATGTTTACACATCGTTATATCAAAACTATAAAATTAAGTGGAACAGGAATTCGCAATAGAACTGGTTTTCGTCGATCAATTATTACGTTGCTTTGATCAAGCATGATCTCTCTCAATCACACGACTCATTATATTCAATTTGAAATGCATTTTCCTGTTTAAAAATGCGTTTGAATTTATTTCTAATATAGATGGATATACGTTACGTGTATAAATACATGAATAAATACATCACCTAGAATTTTTAGTACTACTTTGATAGTCATCGTTAACAATTGAAAAAAATGTCGTGTAATGCATTCAAATTGAATTACCGCAGACGGTAACATATCGTCGCTTTCCAGTTTAATTCTTCATTCGAATAAAAGCGCGTTTAATTTGCGAGACGAGCAAACACGCGAAACGTCACTACGGAACGGAATAGTTGATTCTATGCGTAGAAAATGATATTTATTCTGCATGGCGATTTCATGCGAGCATTGTAAGCAGGATAGGCGAAGCGGAGCTTATGAGAAGCGTTATGCTACCGATGACAAACCGTATATTGCAAAAGGACACGCGCGTGTTTAAAAGTCCTCGCTGCGCCCGAAAGGAGGATCCTCCGGACGACAAACCGTATATTATCCTTATCGACCACGTGAATGCTCGGTCGTGCGCTTTCGCTGCGTCGACATGTCTGCAATGGTATACGTTTGACTATCGGAGATTCGCAATCGC